GTGTGTGTGTGTGTTTGTGTGTGTTGCGCTTGCATGGCCTAGCTTGGGCATTCCCTGGCTGGAGCTACTCACAACTCTCGGCAAGACCAGGAACAACCCAAATCAATATGACTCTAATTCTCGGCATTTCTCGGCAGTCGACGATGCTCTCGACGTCGAACACGCTCGCAATCAAGGTTTGCAGCCGCTCCCCCTCAGGTCTCTGCTCGCTTCGCAAGCCCAGTGCGGAGGGCTTGGCAGGACTGCCCCGGTCATTGCCGGCGAGAGAAATCTGATTTTCCTGCATAGAAACAAAATGCAGAGGTCTGTATGCGATTGATCATCAAGTTGTGCTCTGTTGCGGTACCATGCCCTCGACATGCAGAGCTTTGCTGGGCAGGCCTGCAGGCGGGGTCAGTCTGAAAATTGGCGACCCAGACAGCCAGCGCCCCAAATTGGGGGGTTAGGAATGCCGGATTGATTGATTGGATGCATCATGCCACGGAGTGCCTGCGAGATCAGCGTCACGACTTCCAGTGGCTTGCTAGGCATTCTTGTGAGGAACTGTCATATCCGTATAAACCTTTACATGGTCGCCCGGCATGCCCGGCCCACAAAGCCTCACAAAAATGAGGCCTTTGGCCAAGGCTCCAATCAAGGCGCGAGCGAGAGCGACGCGCACAACCCTGTGATCATGATCCGAGCATCTGCAGTGTAAATGCTGTCCATCTGACCGACGAAGATCTATGTAGATCTGCTTCATCGCGAACTCGTTGCAACTGGGCAGGTGGAGGCTCCCATGCCAGTCCCAACAAAGCCGGGGCCCCGACAAGTCTGGACATTCTGCCACCAAGCTGCGGCAAACCATAGGGAACTCGACGCCCAACCGCGGCCTTCGTTCGACAAACCAGTGAGGTTTGGCTTCTCTACTCCACGCGAGGCACTGGAGAGGCTACCAGAGTGAGCAGTCGAAGCGGTCTTCAAGAGCCTTCATCTGAATATAAAGAAGTGAACCGCGTCCGGAGAAGGACGAGTGAGGCTCTGCTTTCGGGCTGAGTACGGACCCAGATCTACTTTGAAAAGGGACCAAGATCGTGTTTGTGCGTGCGCTTCACGGGAGTCACATGGTCTCAGAGCATCCGATGTATACCCGACGGTGGGTTTGCCTGTTCCTGTCATGTCTGCTCGGTGGGCAATGCCTAACGGGCTTAACGCTCGCATCCAGTGTTGCTGGAGTAGTCTGAGCATGTGCAACTTGAGACATGACATGGCCTAAGATGGAATCTGTTGTGGATTCTGAGCAGGGACCTGACAGAGCCCGAGAAGGCGCTGCGAAGAGGGAAGCTGAAGGGTGGAAGTCTTCAACGAGCATCGGAAGGGCGAATTCCCCGATGTTGAGGTTACAAGGCGAGCCCAAGCTGCCTTGCAGGTTCGATACGGCGAGCTGACCTTCGTCGAACGTCTGGGTAAAGGGGAGTTCGGAGAGGCCACGATATCCGTCAAGACTAACAGGCATAGTGTTTTGAAGTCGTGCCACCGGCGCCGGGACATGCTTTTCAGTTTTCAGCTGGTGTTTGAGGTTTTCCGCGGCCTGTACCTCAACAAGGAGGCCGGCTGAGGAGGTCAAGCAGATGAAAAGAGAAGCGTTTCAGATGAAGCTTTCATCCCAAAGCATTCGCAGTCACGCCTTCAGTAGCAGGTGGCCATCAAGCAGCTTTTTTTCGATGAGAACATGACGGAGTTGGTGGTACAGGATCCGTTGAGCACACCAAGTCACAGCGGCAGCGCAGGTCTTTCAAACCACCATGCAGATTGCGGCTCCTCACAAGCCCAGAAAGGTGAGTTGAGAGAACTCGCAGGATTTGGCCAGAGAGATCGACTCCTTTCGCCACCTCAGCCACAAACGCTTGGTCAGCGGGCTCGGAGAAGTGTTCTTGCTCGTTCAGACCTTTGCTGCCGGCGATTAGCACGTTTACCCCTCAAGGTGCGCTTCTTGGGAGCATGCTTGGAGCTGCCCAATTTATGCCTTGTCACAGAGCCCCTCGGCTGTGTTGAAAGGGCAAACATTCAATCTTGTAGAAAATTCCTTGAACATCCCGACGGTTGGCGAAGCTGTGGCTGTGAGGTACATGCCAGGAGGGTCCCTTCACCACCTGCTGCATGTGCGACGGCCAGCGACTCCGAGCTGAGCTTTGAATGGCTCCTGAAAACTCCTGGGAGAACTTCCGAGGCAAAAGCTGCCGGCAAGCCATGCGATGAACATGTGCATCCAGAATCTTGGCTCCATTGAGGCAAGCTTCGCGATCTTGCAATAGCCAGTCCACTCGCACCGCACCCAAGGATTGCAGATGGGGTTTCGTGACCCTGCTTCTCATTAAACTGCTGGTATCCCATTTCTGGCATGACTCAACTTCATGAAGGTACTTGCACAGCCAAACCCCCACCATCGTGCACCGCGATCTGAAGTCCTTGAACGTTGTCCTGGACTTGAGCTTAAACATCAAGGCTCCATCTGACGGCACTTTCCCGCAGATAGGCGCTGGCATGTCAAGATGACTCTACATCTCGCTCTCAAGCCAGCTGAATCGCTCGAGAACGATGATTGTTCCTTGATGTTCGTGGAGATGGCCGGCTGTTGTCGTCACATCTGGCTCAAGCACGATGCGTCTAGGTTTGAGGTAGGATTTTGTTTACTCCGCGTAGCTTGTCCTCAGTTTGTCGAAGACAAGGCGGCGGCAAAGCTGCCACTTGCTTTGGTGCAGAGCTGTTGGGGGCTAAGTGGCTGTGCACTTCGAAGTGTCGTAACCTGCTCAGACTGGTGGCCAACAATGGGCTGCTCTCAGCAACTGGGCTGTCCTAAAGTTGGAAGACTTTACGCGGGCAGATGAGGGAGTTGACCTCCTGCATAGAGCATCTTTGAAGCTCCAACTCGGACTTGTCTGCTAAGGAGTTCGACAGTAGCGGAGGCGTGACACGTCAATCAGCATGGAGACAGCCGCAAGCAGAACGCAGATTATGCCAGTGTTCATTGTGACTCAGCTTGAGTGGCCGTGCAAGGCCTCTTGCTCTCACGGCCAGTGCTTGTACTGTGCCGACTAACCAGCGTCGCCCCTTCGACCTTACCTCACTCGCAGCAGCTCAATGTGAGCCCCCTTGCCACGTGGCGCAGGCCAAGCCGCAGCAGCACTCCGCACATGCACATTCACATTCGTTTCCGACGAAGGAGGCCGCGAGGGGCGCAACGCAGTCACGAGTCACGTTGCGAGTGTGTCCTGCAGGAAATTATGACGGCTGTGTGCTTCAAGAGAACATACTCACAAAAGTTGAGCTGCAGGTTGTTTCAGAACTTTAAACAATGTAGCTGCTTGAGGGGCAGCAGTCTGCAGAAGCATTGACACCACCAGTGCCGCTATCAGCGAAAAGAGCACCCCACCAAGACAACGCCAGAGCAAACGCCGTGACAAACGCAACGTAGAGCGCGAGAAAAGTGGGTCGGAATGGGCTGAATTGGGAGTGCCATCCGACATTTAAGCAGACTGGATGCGACATGCTCAACGGCAACGGATATGCAAAGCCTGGCTTGCTTGCATGCGCCAATTTACTGAAAGACTGTCTTGCTCAGCTGGTCGAGCGAATGTTCCTACCACAGGCCATGACCAAGCTCCGAGATGCCGTGGGCTTGGTCGTTCGTTCTATCGGAATCCACCTGGCCCGCAGTACAACCTGCATGCGAGCTATGAGTCCCTCTGCTGCCAGGCTCCGAAGCAGGTGAAGTCAACTAAGTCAACGTTATCCGAAGCATCAGCGTCCGAAGCTGCAGCGGTTGACAAGCTGGCGGACTTGCGGAGGCGCCTGAGCTTTGAAACGAAGCTCTTGTGTTGGAATGTGTAACTTGCATCTAGCCTCCCGCTTGCAACAGAAGATATTCGAAGAGAAGGGGTTGTTGCTCGACCCCATCTACTGCCGTCAAATCACATCATGCCCCTGGCGACATGGCCAGAGCAAACATTCAGAAAACTGTTGTTTTCGGATCGCCAGAGCCTCCTCGCGACGGGTGTCCCTGCTGCCTGTGGTTGTGATGCTGATGATGCTGGTGCGGTGCTGATGCATCGTCCCCGAGACATGTTTTTCGTCGTCATGACGCTGTCTTCGCGATGAGGTGATGAAGGTCTCATGTTTCATCATGCGATCGACATCGGGAGACGGTGGGGGCAGATGCGAGGAAGTTGGAAAATTTCGTGTGGAGTGCCCGACTTTGTTCAGAATGCACAAAAGGCGCAGCCATGGAAGACGGATTACGCAACGGTTAGCCACGACATACTGTACTTGAGGAGGGGTGGTGGGATTTCTGTGGATGCCCAACAGACACAGCAACCTGGGGACATCGCAGAGCGTCTAGCTCGAATCGTCCTAGAGAGCATGGGAGGAACCAAGTGTACGCGAAGACCGAGAACAAGAAGGGGAGAACATTTCACCAATTCACAGAGGAAGAGGAAGCAGAGTCTGTCGCAGGATTGGGGATAGCAGGCACAGGCCCGAGCCAGGGTCCACATACTCAGGTGCGTTCTTCAAGTGGGTGACAGCAGCCTGGTAGCAAGTGAGGCATTGAAAATCTGTGGCTGCTGTATTCGCTTGCGCCGTTGCCCTGAGATCGTATGGTGGAGTGTGACGAGCCTTCCGTCCAACAGGACTACAACTCCTGGAAACATGAGGCTGCATGGAGCATGGGCCGCAACGCTGGTGCTGTTTGTAGTTGTGCTGGGAGTGTGCTGAACAGGTGGATGCCCAGGACTTGAAGGCGTTGAAGGAAGGACATGCAGTTCCTGTGAACAGGACGGCATCACACAACTTGTGCAGCGATTCCTGGCCGAGCTGCCAGCAGTTGCTGATCCCTTTGTAAATATTTGTTCTGCATTTGTGTGGTTAAGGATGAGCGCGGCTGCTTGGTGTAGCATGCGGTTTTGACTAACTCTGAGCTTGTTTAACTTGCCTGCTCCAAGACAAGACTTCCTGTCCAGAACCGCTGACCAGCACTTGGCAAAGAAGATGAAGTCGTCCCTCAGCACCGTGGTCGAATTCAGCCTTAAGTATGGTCTTCCTGACTGCAGGGCGACGATGGTGATGTGACACGTGAACAATGTCAAACCAACATCAACTAGCTTGCTGTTGTCGAGTGTGTCTTTCTGCCGCCAAGCCCGCCAACATGACGGATTTTGGAAGCAGCTTCGATCACTCTGCTGCGAGGTGAGCTTACAGAGGATCCTTCAAAGCTAAAGCGTGCCGTGCAGCTGCGCCGCATGGATCGCGAGGACGCCAGCTTGCGTACGTTTGATCATGCCCGCGATTCTAAACAGTCCACCGCCGAGACTCTTGGAAAACGAGATCTCCAGCTTGTCAGCTTGTATCTAGAGCCTGCGGGCCATTTACATATCCCCGATCCGTGACGTTGCCCAGAAATTCGCTTTGGCCCTGCTTACCTCATCCACCTTCCTGCCAGGAGATTGCCGCATACCGGAACGTGCTCTCGTTGAACCTTGGAGAATTGGAGGGTGGACGGTCGTAAACCTCAAGATGTCCCATCACTGTCAGTCTGTAAGTTGCGTCTGCCACGGCATCGCCGCAACATCTCTTAGGCTGTGCTTCAGGCCAGAAAGGTCATTGTCATTGTACATACAGACATGCATAGTCGCGAACACTGGACGAAGTGACTGTTTTTCTGTCTCATCCATGGTAGTTTCCCGCAGGCTCCAGTTTACACAAGGCCCAGGGGCCACCAAAAGTAAATGGTGCCTCCCCGCAACGCCACCGCCACAGAGTTCACCCCCGAAATCCCTCAAGACTCTCGCCCGCTAGCTGCACATGGCAGAGTGCATGTTTGAATAGCAGAGTATCTGCGTGGGTAGAAGGTGAGGGCTCAAGATGCAAGAATTTGCTATCTGTGTTTGAACCGTCCATACAAACATCGGGGGTGCCTTCGGCGCGGGGCATCCGGACCGTATCCATGCCGGAGAGAACACAGGACAAGGGGAAGAAGAAGAGCGACAGAGTCTGGTCGACCGTGTTTTCCGCTGATAGCAGGCGGACAAAGCCCTGAATCGCAGCACATTTCCACCCTTCCGTCTTAGACGGTGTTTTTTCTGTCATTGCCCCACCCAACATGTCGTGTAGTGCAACTTGTTGCACGGAGTTACATGTACGAGCGTCAGCAGCAAGGACTCCGCAGCTGCAGATCGCTCGAGAGTACAGAGATTTTCAGACCCACCCTC